TATATATTAAAAGTGTATTTCTGTTTTCAAAAGTTTTTAGTAAAGGAAAATTACAAGTCTTGAAATTATTTTCATGAATATCAAACTTGATTTGTCCTACACCACTTTTGTACAAGTTATACAAAATTGGCAATATTAAGGGTGGGTCACTATCGCTCTCATGTTATATAAATGCGCCATCCTACGTACAAGTATATATTGTATCTTAGCGAACGTCACTACCGAGTCACTTTTGTGTGCACTGCGATAACTTAAAAAAGTTATCGCATTTATCCACTTACGCATACAACAATCTAAAGCCTTGCACCTAAGCTTTTCGTTTGGGATTCTTGTAAGAAAATATAAGGTTAGAGGCGCTCTGGAACTCTTACTTATTTACTTATCAAACCCTGGACGCTGTAATCGCGAGGTTTGGTTCAACTGATTCAAATATTACTTAAAATCGAAGCTTACACGAACGGCTAGTGATTGTGTAAATTCGCATAGTGGTGTGCTGGTCTATTCTCTTGTAGGGCTTCTTGGCTCACCGTTGTAGCATTCTTTTCAGAAGTCATATCCCCCTTCTTTCAAACTAAATGGCTGTGTAGCGGTGCCTCATGTATTCGTGCAAGTTGTTCATCAGGTCAAATCTTTTCAAATCATGCAGGGCCATATGTATTTAGCGCTCTTTTCCATGTTCAAATGGTCAGTTGCTCCACCTTTTTTTCTCCTTAATGCTTCTGTCTAGACAAATACCTTGTTGGCTAGTTGTTATTCTTGGTACCATTGTTCCGCTGTCTTACAGTCATACTGCATAAAGTCGTGAGCACTCACTTCTGTCTGTTTTCTGAGCCTCCGTTTAGTAATACGGCCTTGCGCCAGTTCCTTTCAGCTTCTTCCAGTTTTCGCCTGCTTGGAGACTATCAACTAGCCTCCTTTTACCCACAGTATATGTCAGGAAATGATTTACAACCATGAAGCGTCAATTTAACATGCACTGCAGAGCACAGACAACTATGTGTAAATATAGTCTTTCTACCGTTTCGTCACCTTTAGCGGCATAGATGATTCGACACCACAACATATTAGCTTTGTTTTTTTACAGTATCTTATGCTGGGAAGCTACCTTATATACAGTACTATTAAACGTAGAATTGATCGGTGTCACATCAGTGTTGGCACCAAACATTACATTTCGAACAGAACGGGAACTATTACATTTAGTTTTCGAATCAATTTTTTTTTATTTGGCAAGGTAAACTTTTTCGCAAGCCAGAACAGCTTAGTGGATTAAATCTGGTGACTAGGAAGCTTTAAACCTCCGTACGATGTTGATATGTTGATGATGTCTGAATAGGCAATAAACCATCATTGACTTACGCCATGATGCTTTAGGTATCTAACGCATGCATCGTTTTTTGCAGAATTCATTCTTGACTACCTTGCAAACTTTCTCGCTAGAGGCGTGCATTTGGTTGAAAACGGCATGGTGTTGTCAAAAAAAGATCAGCGGTCATACAGCCGATTTGTCGTATTAAGATTGGGCTCTGAAAGCCTTTGGCCGCTAAGCACATATATGTATCAAAAGTTGCTACAGAAACAGGATGCCTAATATAACTTTGAGCAGCCATAGTTTGGTGAATACGCCTTGAATATGCCATGAATATACACGAAGTGTCGTGGTTTAGAATCCTCATGTTTCATCTTAGAATGGAAAATATTATACCAAGAGGTATAGTGTACTAATTTAATGTTGATCTTATGCTTAGTGATTGTGTAAACGTCACCGAACGCAGAATAGTTCTGGAAACTACCATCATTCTCCCTTATTAATAGACTTTGCTTCTTTTATATGGTAAACCGCTGAAAACGTCTGTGATGAACTGACACCCAAGGAAATTAGCAATTTTTTAAATATTGGTCGGAAAAATATTATTTTTCCGACTTTTTACAGTTTGTGTTTGTTCCTTCGTCAAACTTTCGTAACCCTACTTAATGTAGCATGCTATTAACTCGACTCGGAAAGGTAGCTCATTAGACGAACGAAGTGGATAAAACGTGAAGGTGTAACTTTACCATATACAAGATGGCCGGACTAAATGACCCCTCTGCCTATGCTTCTAAAATTACATATATATATAAAAACAGTAATTTTAACTAAATTTTATATGTGTTTTAGGGCTCTATTTCTGACACTCATGTTCATTCAGTGTAACCACCATTTACCACAGTTACAACTTTAATTTCAAACCAAAACTGTTTACCAGCCCATTTCCGATTTTTCTTGCAAATGTGCGAACGCCTTTATAATAACGTGAGCGGGCAGGTCGATGTTGTAATTTCGACACTTGTTAATCCTTGCTTAACAGCGCTTCATATGTAGCACTACTGCAAATCTAAATCTGGACTACGTGGTGATCATCTATGCCAGTTCTTAAACGTGCTTGTATTTTTGAGAGGCCAAGCGTGCTCTAATCTGTTAGTATGAGCCAGTGCACTATCTTACAGGAAAACGTGGTACCCTCAGAGACTTAAGCTATATACGGTTGCACAGGAGATTGCATAGCATGCACATAATACGTTTACCTTTCTGAAGAAGTATAGTAGCAAGTTTTATTCACTGGACACCACATTCGAAGAATGAGGATCGATTGGAAAATTGCGTTGACTAACTCGTAACATGAATGTTTGCCGGGAAATAGTTTTTATCCATGATAGGCACATTTTCTTGAACGCAAGTGGGCCGGAAGTCACTCTTAATTTTTGCATTTAGAACAACTATTTTCATGCCAATCGAAGGTGGTTTGCTACCATGTTTTTACGAAAATTGAGGAACATATGACACTGATCGATTTGATAGTTTAATTGGCTTCATCTAGAACAGAACTGAGTTTTTCTTCTCTATGCAAATTTTTAACTTGAAGCAGCCTATAAAGCCTAGGCTCGTATAGTGCATGAGTTTGATTTCAGAATCCGCGACGATCTATCGAGGTCAGCATTTGTTATGGTGAGTGCAAGCATTTTCCATTCGCATATTTATGTTGGCCTGCGTGACTAATGCGCACCTCTTCGAGTGCACTGCAATGCCAACCATCAACATGCGCCGTCGCTGGTTCAAAATATACCGCTAGCAAATGATTATTATGGTACATAATTACGATGGCGTTTCGTGGGTCTATTGGAGACACCCCACATAAATCTAGCAAAGTCCACCCCTTGGTTAGACCTTTTAGGGATAGCAAATCCTTGATTCGATACCAAAGAGCTGATTTGGAGGGTTTATTCGCACAGTAAGAATACCTGAAGGAGACAAAAAAAGTTATATATATATATATATATTAGTGCGAGCAGTTGTGGAATGGTCGTGCAGTTAGCCAACGAGAAAGCTAGGTTCCGCTAAATAAAGCCCACATTATTTTGGTCGTAGCTATGGAATGGCTGGCGATATAGTTGAAATTGCAAAACGAATTACTTAAATTTTGGACTGAATGGGAGTCGCCCTTGTTGGGAGAAACGTCAAGCGATGATCCGAAGAATACGAGTGGCTCACGAGGTAACAGAAATGACCGGGCCAGAATGAAAGAGAGGCTTATCACACTTGGTTTGATTTGAAAATTAGTGGTGCAGGGGAGACGTTGAAAAGCCTGAGAAATTGTACAAGCGCTTTCACCCGGAGAAGCCAACTCGAGCGACTACAAGGCTAAACGCTTAGCCATTGTGAGCGTTTTTAGGTGGCATTGGACAAACGGCAAGATTCTGAAGCGAAGGTAATTTCTTATGCAGAGTTAGCCCGGGTGGTTTGAGACTATATGGCGGAGAAATACTGAGTGAGTTCACGTGAAGTTCTCATTATGCGCGCCCTATCACCCTCGGCGACGGACATGGAGCTCAAACCAGTGGTTAGCCCACCAGGTCGATTACCACGGACCTTTATAACGATGCCAACCCCGCGCTATATGAAGTGGTGAGCTACCAATGGGCATTAGTAGACAACCTACCGTGAGAAAGTTAGAAACGAACACTTTATTATTCATACGAGCCATCCTTTACCGTTCCAGCACACAGAAACTATGATTTATGCTTCCCAAGCAGCCCAAGCTAGTGTCACCAGAATCTTCCAAATGTAGAAGCACCTGAGGGAATGTTATTTTCCGGACAGAGAAATTTGGGTTTTAGTACGCGTATAAGTGGGTATCTGTGACATGCAATAACTTTAAAAGGAGAACAGCCATATTAACTACGTGTACAACCATTGAAAACCGTGATGCTCAAGAGGACAAGAGACTGGCTGTGTGGGCCTGTTGGCGCGGGCCCGTGTAAAACACTTTTGACGTCGTGGAAAGCCACCCACTAATTGGTCTGTAGACAGTGGAATTGTGCCCGACATGAGCCAGGAGAAACGGGGAAGGTCTGGAGGACACAAGAACAGCGCAGTTAATATTATTTCTGCCTACGGAAACGCAGGATGAGTGGCTGGGAAGTGCTGGTTACTGCCAGCCAAGGACAAAGCTAAGCCAGCGCACTTCAATATGTTTACCTCTATATGCAGCGCCAGTATATATTTTGGGGTGGAGCATTCGAATTCGAACAGACTTAGGCGGGGTGTTTGTCATAGTGACCACGTATTAATCCGCTATGCTTAATCCCAGAAGAAACTGAGTTATTCCTAGAGCAAAGTAGCAGATTTATCATGACGAATCATGTTCAGAAGAACCAATTTTGCACAGAAATTCCGTACAAGTGTAACCCAATGTAATGGGTAATAACAAAATGTAACAAGATTGTATTATTTTTGTATTTAGACAAAAACTGCCAAAAAACGCCAAAATCAAAACCAGGTTGACAGACACGAGCATCAGTACAGTATATATATATACATGAACACGTTACATGCTATCTATTAATCTACTAATAACTAATGCTACTGATCGTTACTATTAATGATGTTTCGATTTTTTTTATTTTTTGACAACTTTTTGTCTAAATCTGTATCGTAGTCTAAGGCAAGGTTATAAACGACAAATTGAGCTACATTTTGATGTGAAAATCGGATCAGAATTTTTTATCCGAACTAGATCGTTTTTTACATGAAAGTCTGGGTATGGGGAGATCGTTTATCGTACCAACTGATAATTAATTTCCTTCTGCCGAACTACTACTAAATAAGCGTGAGTAAGCAATCTTGATTTAGTTCTAGTTCTAATACTTGTGTAACCACATTGTGGAAACTCCGTATCGTTGGCCCGGGTTAAGAGACCTCGTAAGAGACATTGACGTATGACTAATTATATAATGAACATATAATTGATCATAATTATGCATGACAGCCATAACGTAGATGGCCGCGAAGAGCCGAGGATCATCGAGGTGGTTCTGTGATCACGAGAAAACCTCAAGCTTAAAACCTTTTGTTGAGCAACATGTCATATTTTATGCTAGACTGTACACATGCTGCAAAATGGTAATCGATTGGGTACAGGGGATCTATAGAGAGAAAAGGTACTTACTAACTGAAAGCATCCGGCAAGCCCAAGAGCTCTATCTATCCCTCTTCCTAAAATTAAGTTCGGTCAAAAACGGCGGCGGCTACTCCAAGCACAGTTTTGCATTTTCCCTGTTTGGGAACAACGATGCGCCGACATACCATCAATTGCATTCGTGTACAAAATGAAATATATATATGTGTACAACTAAAACATAGCAAATGAAACACATTTTCTAGAGCTGGCTTTGCTGGTTCTTGTTGTTGAATCATGCCTAGTAGGTGTAAGGGTGCAACTTCTTAGTTTCGCTCCTCGTTTTCGTTGCCAGTTTGGGTGCTTGGCCTGTGAGTAATTAAAACAATGAAAGCCCATAGTGACAGTGTGATCCGCTCACACTGCAGCCTACAGGAAATTAAGGTAAAAAAAAACAGCTCTGGAACGGCTTGCGTTGCGCATGGAGAAACAACAGGTTTTAGTACTACACTCTATAGAGAAGAAAGACTCGATTGTTTGTTCGTACCTCTTTTATCAAGCTGTTTTTCTGTGTAACAACTTTGGTTCTGTTATGCGGAAGCCAACTTCACGTCGGTTGCAGTAAATGCTATGCAACCACTCAAACGGCGTTATTATTGCTGCAACGAAATTCGTATGGAAGTATGTAATTATAGCATGAATCAAAACACACGATGATACAATAAATTTATAGCCGGTGTATTTTATTAAAGAAATATGAATTTCCTGTAATCAAGATTTTTGTCTTTTCCAGCAATTTTCTTGTAAAGCCATTTTGTTGAGTTCCTGCCTCTATAAAAGGAGGCCAATAACAATTGGCCTAATTTAAAGAAAGCTGAAAAGCACATATGTATGTAAAGTAAAAGAAGGCTCGTAGGCCCGTAATGAATCTTATTACGTTCTTTCAGTTGCTTCCAATAACTTAATAAAAAACTACGTTTCGATTATTAGGCGTATCGCTTTAAGATAAGTAACGTCGACTTGTTCCAGTTTGTCGAGCCCTTCAAAGGTACCTCAAGCTGGTGGATTTGTTGCTATTTTTTCCTTGGTGCGATATCTAAAATGAAACCGCTAAAACTGATTAGGTAGTACATATATGCAGGGTTCGAGATTTTTTAATTAAGTATTCGAAATATGTATGTAAAAATGTAATTAAAAAAACGCAGTCCACTGATCGGATTACCTGGTTATAACTGCGGTAACGTGTCAGAATATTTCTTACTGAGACTTAATTTAAAAGGGCGCCTTAATATTTTAGCGCACAAGAACAACCCATGTTTTGAAATAGCAGAGACAAAGATGGTATAATGGTGGTACCACTACGTAGGCCAAAAACATACAGTGCTACCTAAGAAGTACAGATTTTTCTGCCGCTAAACTAGGCTGTTGTGGTGGCATTTGCAGGACAATTTTGAGTTTGTTCAATGGTTCAAGAAGTTTTTTGATGCTAACTACAACGGAGAGCCATATGATGCTGTGGAAGCACGTGCAGGAGCTGCTATGGGTGGTGGCACAGCAGGTCCGACGGCACGTAGCAGCGGAATCGCTGCAGCCTCTAAAGGAACTCCGGTGACAAGAACTGCAGCGCCTGGCGCTGTTGCGCGAAGGCCGCCTGCAACGTCATTGGGATCCGCTGCAACAAAAGGTCAGGAAACCGTATACGCAATCTTTGTCTTAGATCAAGGCAACTACATTATCTAGGAATTTCTGGAGCTCATACAGTAATTCATTTTTGCTCAAAATGGGTTATTTATATAAATAACAGTTAGTTGTGATCAACTAAAGTCCTAATTTCTATTGTTTATACGATTTAGTATTTGTTGCATATGCGTTGATATATTAGAGTTAACGTGTACATAAATATCAGCGTTTGTGGGGTCCGCGGTCACGTTATTTGCAAATTTTATAATAGTTAAAGAAAAATGAGTGAAATTCTTACCTGATATTATTTGCTGAATTGCGTTAAAGGAACCTTCTGTTTAAAACCTGTGTGACTCATCAGGCAATGTCTAAAGGTAATTGAGGGGCAAATTAGAGTTTTCAACGTCAAGTTAACGAAGTAATGCTAAATTGAAAAACAGTTGGTAAAGACTGAAAATCGAACGTTTCATGAAGGCAGAGATCGGCAGCCAAGCGGCCATTTTTCTCTAAATGTAATGTAGCGGCAATAAAACTGCCAAAGAAAAGCCTTTTACGTTGATGTGGCGTTCTGAAAACAATCTTAATGGTAACTAACTAACAAAATTAAAAAAAGCACTTCTCAATCTTTAGGCCTAATATCCAGTATAAAATATCTACAGCAATTCTAGAAAAAAACGTCAATTCCGTTAACGGAAGATATTAGTTGTTTGAATATGGGTCACAAATGTTTTTTGAAGCTCTCTACTGGCGTCCATGTTTTAATATCGTGACTTTTTGCAGGCTTTGTAACCAGAGATTATACATATGAGGTGATACCTTTTTATTCATTGGTTTTGAAATCGTACATCAGGAAGGATGCTAAAACTTGTTAGTGTTCGAAGGCAGTTCCTTCGAAATGTGCTGTTTATAGCACTTTATCTCTGCAGATACCAGCCGGCTCATAACATTGCGTTCAAAACTCGGAACGTGCCTCGGCGAAAAGAAATACCATAGTCAAGATAGCTTAGTCGATATCATGTCTCATCGTAACTCAACGCACCAGTAGTAGTCAGAGTGCTTAAATGTATAATTTAATAAGGTGATTTAAGACGTAGAGATCACAACCACGTTTGCCTTTTATAACATAAATATGAAATAATGCCGTTCATTTTTCGAAGCAGCAGCGACACCTGCAATCCGATCAGCAGCAGCAGGAAGTGGCGGCACTGGCGGAAGTGGCATCGGTGGTACTGGAGTATCATCGGCAAAAGTGCAGGCTCTGGAGGCCCAAGTAGCTGAATTAACAGAACAAGTGAGCGGTTTGGAAAGAGAGCGGGATTTCTACTATAATAAACTCAGAGATATTGAACTACTCTGCCAGGAGTACGAAGCTAAAGAGGACAAAGCGCCGGCACTCGAGCAAATCCTAGAAATTCTATATGCTACTGAGGTATGTGAATGTATAAGTTCCTTGTAGTACCGGAAAAAAATCATTTCTGTACAAGATTGATACGGGAAATATGAAGGGGGTAAAATATAGTGGAACTTTTGTAACAATCCTTACCGTAAATAGGAGTGTTTAAGCCTGTTTAACTTTTATCACGAATAAGGCTCAAAATAGGCTACATGAGCATCGAGTTTTTTTTTTCTGTACAAGTCGCCAACGCCGTAAATGCTTTGTGCACACTTCATTTATCCATCCAGGTATTGTAAAACTACAATTTTGTTTTAGACTCCTTATACAAAAATAACTACCCACTATAACCGCTGTTCTTTAGATTTTGATTTCTAGTTGTATAGCAGAAATTCAATTTAGGAAAGTAAGAAGAGAAAAAGAAAAATACATGTAACCTATTTGCCTTGGTTAGTCTGCCTAAATCTCGATTCTAGTGGCAACTATAAGGGTATTTTTTTTATTTATAAATAGCTGTTAGTTCTCTTCCGACTCTGACATTCTGGTTACCTGTACTTTATGAGAATTTTCCCAGTTTGTTACTGGTTGTTCTTTTTCTTTTCAGTTCTCAATATATCTAAAAGGCATGTACGACCGTGTTTTCTTTCCTATTTGTGCATGAAATACAGGTACCAATGGTGGTTATTCCGATCTCTTTTTGGTAAGCTCCGAAAAATACGTGGCGACTAAGCAACCTATAAGATATTGAGATTGAATAATACCTCTCTGTATCTTCTATTTAACTGCTTAGCAACCTCCAAGGGATTCTTTAGTGACAAGGAACGTTGCGTCATATGATATAGTTCTAAAGTTCTTGTGACGCTTAGCAGTGTCTTCGTGCCCTTCTTGGTCTACTGTTTATTTTCTTTCTCATTCTTCTTAGTTCTACTTCACCTAGATAGTCCTGTTAAAAATTGCCGCCATCCGCTAAATACCACAGAATGTGTCCCAATACTCACCCTTGAAGTATTCCAGTACATATTAGATAGGTTTCATCGTAATATGCGACATTTTTGGTTAGGTAGGTGCACGCTGAAAGTTAGTTTATGAGACGGACTTTCTTTCCTATAAGCCTATTATTACGCTCAACATAGTATTTGTTTTGGATATCGAAGACCACCATAGTGCCAACATTTCTCTTTTAGTGCGGTTTGTGTATTTCCCCTTTTGCTACTACTTTCCTGATTTTTTTCAATATTAAAGATTCCTTTTATAAGCTTGAATTAATTTTCTATTCAATTAATTTACACCGAGTATCCTTTGTCATGATGCTTTTAATTTGTTGATAGAACTAAAACAACAAATGGATCTACACCCGAAGAACTAGCTTTGACTCTGCTTGATTTGTGGAGCAAGATTAGTTTTTCTGGTCTTTCACGGCCCAGAATAGCTTTCCTTTCTTCCTTTTTCCCTTCTTTCTTCCACATGTCGTTTATTAATGTTTTGAATAATGTAATTTGGTTTCAGGAATTGTTTGAGAATTAGTACTTAAGAGTTGTTTGCTTTGAGTAAGAGTGCTTATGTTTGGGAAAAGTGTGGACATAGCGTTTTCCGCAAAGTGTTTATGGAGGCTGCTTCTGTCCATTGCTAACATACCTGGTCTCACGAGTCATTGTCTAATTTTTCCAGAAGAGAAATCCAGTAGCGCCTTTAACTATTTTTTAGCTTTCTTTTCCCCAGCTCTTTTCTGTTCGGATGGGAAGGTTTATTCTTCGTATTTATCCTCCGTACTTTGATGCACTCGCATATGGTTTTGTCTCGACTTAGCGAAAGCTCATATGATATCTATTATAAGCTCTGGAGGGAGTACAAGAATGAATGCATGCTGATGATTCTGCTCGTCAACTTAGTCAAAAAACTGACAACACCCACCGCGGGAAAAAGCTACTCCGATTTTGTTGCTTAAGAACAGATTGGCTCCAGAATTAGCAAAGAGATCATTGGCTTTAGAGTAGCTCATATATATTCCGCATCATACATCAAACAACCTATATGTAGTTCTACATATAATGGGGTACATTCTACATATTTAACCTAGAAGCTTTGCCACCGATGAGGAGCGTACTTTAGCCGAGTAGGCACAAACGTCCCCATTATATTCCCCTTCTTCTTCGGCGTTCTAAGCATGAACATACTGCAACAATAAATTAGAAAGAGGGCTATGTTGTCGTAAAGAATTTGCATTAGTGCAAAAGGTGAAACGCATGCAGATGAACGGACTTCATTTACTTTTAACGAAAGGCTCATTCATAGGCGTTTAGGTCGATATTAAAGAACACTGAAGAAAAATTCGATCAATATTTAGGATTGCTTGATAATCGTCGAAGTAGCTTTATTTGCCAGAATTCGACTTTCGGTAAAACTAAGAATTTATATTAGTCTTGCGAGTGAACAAGGTCTGGGTCCTGCAATTACAAGAGAGAAATAGACCGGAAAGGTGGCAGGACGAGAACCCTGCATGGTTGAAACAAACAACCTGTTTCAACGTGATAACGAACTTGTCTGTACACAAAGTCACCTTTATAAGAAACTAGATTAAGAAAATCGAATCGGGGAACTACGATATTAAGTAAGCATTGTTCCTCTCTAAGCACGACCCCATGGCGATATGAAATCCGCCGTACAAACTCTCGAAGGTGAAATTTCTCTCAGGAAATAAAGATCATGAGGAATTAGCCAGGTTGCGAAGGAGCACACGATATTTATGTATATACACATACCAGTAATTTTCATAGGTATTTCCTTTCCGTACCATTCTAAGTTCTTTCAACAACTTTGTATTCGGGTGTGAGTGTTGTTTCTAGGATAGTCAGTGCCTCAGCCAGTTTCCTGGGCATCTTCCCGCACACCATGCGATGGGGTGATAATAAAATTGCAAAATGCGGGTTGGCTGGAGAGTAGGTGTACCAGTTGTGTATGGAGACAGAATAAGCCTAGCTATTTTTTTTTTCGTGTACTCACAACCGTAAGAAGCATCTGTTGCACTAGAATATCTACTATTAATTACATGTTTTATTTGGAATATTTTTTCGTACGCTATTTCAAAGAGTCTGATTTTTATAGTTTTCGCTATATAAACCATGATGTCTGAGAGGGAACAAGCTCTTGATATGTTTGTGAAATATATAATTCGAAGCACAATTTTAGAATGCACTTGCAAAAATAAAGTTCTATCGATTTGCAACGAGGACCCCCATTTCAGTAATCGCTCTGAATACTCGTCTTGTAAAACAGTGGAAATTATTAAAACAAATGTATTTTCCGTATTTTGCATTTTAGGAAGGTTTTTCAGCACCCGAAGATTATCCAGATGAAGCTACACAGGGCAATGGCGAAGAAGAGGAATACTAGATATTCATCTATAGCAGCCTACGGGGGCAAAATGCTGATGACACACCGATGTTGATTAGCTGTTAATATTGTCATTTAAGTAAGGCATATTTACGTAAAAACATCTGCTAACTATAACCACTGCAAACAGTCGTTTCGCTGCGACTTTCAAACGCCGTTGCCGGTGTCTACCGTTTTCCATCGTAAACTCTGCGTACTATAAAATGACGTACTACTTGAGCTATGTTTCCATAGCAGGATAAACTGAATCTGTTAGTAAACAACTTAGAATAATCCAGTACATTATTGTCATGTGTTCATGATTCTTTTTCTAACTAACAAGTAAATAAGGTCCTACTGAATACCTACGGACCAATTTAATCGTTGCTAACAGTGAAACCGCCAATCCGTTTCGTTGTCCTATTCGCCCCATTAAGCGCTCTCAGCTTACGCCTAGACCGCTATAAATAAATACCCTGTTGCCTTACACATTACAGAATATTACTAGCAAACCAAAAAAACATCTCTAGTAGACGTTCATTATGAAGAAAATAAAGTGAAAGGAGCAACGGTATTGCAAGAAACTCCGACGGCGCGCAAGTTGGTTACGAATCGTTGTATGCTTTTGATGAAAACTTAACGCTTTAACCTTTCATATTTAAAAGAAAATTAACGTACAGCTCTATATCCTTTTGAGCAACGCTACCTAATAGAATTCTTTTAGCATAAAGGCATGTCGTATTGGCTATATTTGCGAAGATTTGTGTAATGTATCTTTAACTAATTACACTGATCATTCATCAAACTGCCAATATTTGGCCTGATCACTCATTCTGTACAATGCCCTATAGGCAAATGTCGTAAAATCAATGCTCGGCAAAGGTCGTTTTGTCTTCAAGTTTTCGATACTCTACGATCCACGAAATGTAGTTATAATAGCAAAACAATTCATTATTCAAAAAACAGCATACAATAACATTGCACCAAACTGCAAGTCAGTAATAAAACAAAACAGTGATCGAGGACGAAGAAATGACCCGATGTCAAACGATATTAACAAACAAAATGATACCTCTATGACGTCAGCTCGCTGACGCTTTGAGTGCTTTCGTATGAAGTACTAGCACCAGAAATGAGAATTATAAAAGTTAATGGCTAGGATGTAGAGAATGATGTATGTGAAAAAAAATCAAGGGAAAAACCTGACTGGCCTGACTGAGTATGATTCGTTATCACCTATATCAGCATCGTCTTTTATATCGATGAAATTTCAACGAGACGCTTAACGGAGGAAGACGAAGGATACAAAAACCAAATTACGTATGACGATGGTAGAAATATTTGGAAAAGAACCCGGAGGATTGCTAAAAACACTTAATAAAATATTTATTATATTACTAGAGAAAGCGTTTTTGTATAATGAATTATGTCCACCTTCAAACTCGTATATAAAAAATATATGGAAACAGGTGAGAAAGCCGTAGAATTAAAAAAATATATAATATTCTTACATTATTAGCACGTAAATTAATTGAATTTGGAGAGCTCTACTGTAATAACGGGCTACTGTTTAGCCGACACCAGGAGTATGCTGGAGAGCTTGTGTGGTCTGCAGCGGTTGTTCAGAACGTAAGTCACGCTATATGGTTCCGGAAAAATAATGCCTTCAAAATTTTGATACTTAACTCAAATGCGAGCAAAGTGTGGGAAATGACTAATTTTAGGCCCCATTCTATACCAGTAGGCGTCAAAATAAAAATGAGACTAAATCAACTAACTCTGTTCGGCTTTTAAGTGCAAACTAAATTTAGAATTTGCTAATGGACGTCGGAGTATGGATTGTTGCTTCAATTGCTAAAAATTATAGAGGAGGAAAGTTAAAAGAGGTAAGTAGCACTCGTGGAAATATGCACTAGACTTCAAAAGCTTGACTTTGAGCTTGACATACGGAGTTATCCACAACAAGAGAAATACGAAACTATCACTTTTCTAAAGTGATAGTTTCGTATTTCTCTTCAAATGTTTGCAAGGGTTATGAGGCAATCAAAAATGTATGTAAGCAATACATTCGACTATAATGTTTAGTTGGATTTATACAACAAGATCGACAAAGAAGTTCGATCAACTAATCTTGACCCATAATAAGTTCATCCGTCTCTAAGCAATGCCGACAGCAAAATGGCCGGAGTAAAACGTACGTCGAAACAACGTGTTTCAAAATACATCGAATGCTCACCGTTCATCAATAAGCCAAGTACATAACTCTAAGGGGCAAATTAGCTGGTGGCTTATACTATGCAGGAAAGGACTGACTCATTTTTTCTTAAATTCGTAATTATTTCTTTATTTCTAAACATTGAACTATTGAATTTAGAAGAATCACAATATTTTCAGTATTCTGTGAATTCCATGAATAGATATTAGATATAATAAAACATAAGCATTACCATTTTTATACTGTATCTCAGATGTATCTCAGACTGGTAACAGACCCATTTACCTCTGTAATCTACCTCTGTAGTTTACCTCTGTAAGTAACATTTTTACTACTAAATGAAATTAAAAGTAGCTTAAAAAACCTAGGTCGGTACTCCTTTCGCGGATATTTTTCGGAATCGCTCACACGCTAATAGAATAGGCACTCTTTTTTATATTATATATATAGATATGTACGTGTTGCAAAGATATTTTCTATTTGCGCGTCTGCTTCAATGCCATATTAACTGGTATGAGCGGGCACAACTATAAGAAGTGAAAGACTATAGTGAGTCAAAGTACTTTTTTTACACTATGAATTGCATATTGGTACTCCTTGGATTATTTTGGCGCAGTCTATCCAAAAAAACTCGATATTTTCTTCGCCTTTTTACGAGTGCGAAGTAATCTGCGGTCATTCTTGATAACGATCTCAGTTTTTTAGCATTCGTAGGTAAAGGTATATTGTAACTTCTATTTTATGAGAGTCCAGTTTACGTCCGACTACAGTAATAAGAAAGGCAGAATAAGTGAATAGCATTCAGATAAATTTATTTTTCTGCAATTGCAAGATTTTTAATTCCTTCAAACAGCGTAACGATGATTTTCGAAATTTGATGCAGGCCCGTCAAGAAATCTGCATATAACCATATCGCATTTTTTTTCATTTAGCTCTGTTTGTACTATCTCCATCGAAGGCGCGTATTCAATATGCGAAACTTCCTCACCAACTCCAGCTTTGCAATTTATTTTACAGTACGAAAACACACAGCGAAATACAGTATTTCGCTCGCTAATTTTGGGATGACATGAAAAGCAACTGATTGGACTTTTGCAAACATTCTACGCGCATCTGCTTCAAGTCCTAAAAAAGTGTTTGTCTAAATATAATTTCATGGATCACTGGCGAAAACTAATTATATATTGTACTCAACAACGTCTCACGTCGTTGTTGCACACCTTTACACGTCGGTATTATGAAATTTGAATTAGACGGAAAAGTTTCCTAACTAGTTTCTATATACTGCAACTGGTAGGACCCCTAATCTTTGCTCATAGTAACACCAGACCGGGTATCTCTGAACAACTCTTCACAAAGACGCGTTATGAATCTTACTGTCAGACTTTGATTTAGTATCTATTTTGTTTGATGCCGCTTCTTAAACGTGGGCAATATCTTCAGACTACTTGAAATCGTCTTGATCGTATTTTTTGAGAGTGAATATCTATTTATCACGCTAATAGACCGGCTTTTAGATGGCTTCAATTTGGTCTCTGAAAAACAACATTCTTAAATATGTCTGTATCTCATATCATTGATAGTTTTCGAATGGACAGTAGATTTTCCAATTTAACCTTTATATTTTTGTTGAACCCCAACTTTAATGTTACCCTACTTATCTAATCTATATACAAAAACTTTGAGTTTTTAAAAGCTTGGCTCATCTGTGAAAAAGTGTGTTTCTGTTGGATAAATTGGTTTACATGTGCGTGTTATCTTTCAAGGTGTTTATTCATCTGGATCCGTCAAGACTACTTCCCTTATAACTTAATGTTCCGATTGCACTAGGCATTAGATCCAATAAAACACTTGATGCGCTCCTGCTTTATGATCGATACCTCCCGATTGAGACGATTGATCTTAGAAGTATATTCATAAAATCTACGCAGATTTGAGGTTAACATTTTAATCATTCTTATGAGGTGCTTTAAAAAATATATTGGTCTGTGAGCCGATAGGCAAACAATGTCTTTAAATACTACCTGATAATGCAGTGATAACGCGTTTGCTTACTAGATTTAGAAACACGATAGGTGATCTAGGTTTCCAGCATACACAGGAGCAGTAAATCCGCAATGTGTCACAATATACTTTAAAACGAAAATATATTTAGAACGCTGTTTTCGTAGGATAAAAGGCAAGAGAATAATAAGAAAGTGGAAACTAAGCAGACCCAAGAGGACGTTATAGATATAAATTACAAAAATATGAACGAGGAAAACTCTAGAAGAAGCAGTACAACGAAGTCAGTAAAGATGGGGGAGCCACGGAAATGCTGGGATAGCTAGAGAAGCTATTGAACCTGAGTTCTTAAATTTCTGGTTGGAAAATTGGATCTTAAGGACAAAATAATGGCAATATCAACTACAACTAAAACGTTCTCGAACAACGCTAGTTTTATATGTTAAGACTACTAGGTTTCTCCGAGAGACCTTTAAATAAACAACCTTTTTATTTACCCGAATTTTGTGAAGTAGTAACCCCTGTTTGCTTTAAATGAATAGCGATATTGAAAGTCAGGTTTCTTTCGTCGAGTTACAGATAAATAACGAATGAACATGGCAGGTGGGCTTATAAAAAATCTCAATTCTATGATTAAAGCGGAATCATATAATTCTATTTTCTATTATTATTCCAAGCAGCTCTCTGGGTGAGCTACTAGATATTGTGTGAAAAGTTCTTGCTATACGATTATAACAATGGGTAACACTTCAAAAGGGGAACCACTATGCATCATCATTACCAATAAAAATGACTGAACAAGTTAGGTCGCCTTGAGGGTTATGACACAATAGTCAACTGGAATCAGAGTAATCCTTGTTATCCAAATAAGCATAACTGAATCCAATGTCGGGGTAGGCAATAAGAGAAATACTGAGCATTCTGACCAGTTGTATTATTGATGTAAAGTCTCAGAAAAGACGCTTGAAAGAGGTAAAGGATTAAAACAAGAAGAACTGAACTGTGGAACAAGGGAAATAACAATACATTTTTTTAAAAAATTCAGAGTGTTTAAGCAGGAAACACGAACTTACTTTAAGATACACCACAGGAAAAATGAAACAGGAAATCTCAGAGCAGTCTACACTTCTCCATGTTTATCGAACCAAATAAGAGAAAATTTATAATAATAAGGATCCCATTGAACGTAAAGCTAAGCTTAGGCACTTCCGATCCCCACGAACTGGTTTTTTTTTACAAAGCCGTTGGGGGCTCCAGCAAAAGGTGCTAAAGTCGCACTTCTACGATTATTAATGATTATTATCCGTAGGATACCAAATTAAATCACAAAACAGGATGTAACGGCGGCGGTAAACGAATAATATGGAACCAATAGAAGGTTTCCGGTAAGGGACGGTACAGACACAGCATTGCGCTATTTATTGTTAACGATTGGTACGCATCCGAAACGGTGCTAAATGCAGCATTCCGGTTAAAATATGATTCTTATGCCTAATTTCGGAATTCCTTACTATTCTTTGCTGTTTTTAATGCCAAACATTAAAACATAGTGCGAATGACCGAAAGAACGAACAGATTAACAGAAAAAATGAGAACTATGCGGATCCCTGGGCCTTGTTGTGACGGAACGCGAAAACCTAAGGAAACACTGTGCTTATGTATAAAAGCACAGCGTCAGCTTCACCGCGTGCCTAACACACCGGCAAGAACTTAGAGATCTTAGAACAAAAAGACACAGCGGCAGAGGGTCCAAAATTTCTC